TATTTTTGTAGACGGTTAGTGTAGAGTATGGAAACAAAAAGTAATTAAGGTCCATTTTTTTGGCTGTGAATTTCAATGCCTATAACTTGAGTACAACGATGAAAGAAATGGATCTGAATTCTTTACGAAATCAATTATCTTCTTTTGTCTTCTATTAATTCTCCTCTTAATCCTTATCCTAATTAAAATCTCTCGATTTCTTCTTAATTGTTAAATTATTTTTTTGTGCCCAAATGAGTACTAAGTAATCGCACAATTTTTGTACACATACATTGTTTTCTACATAGTGATTTGTTTGGAAATTATATAACGGTAAGATGAGACATAGGTATATTATAGCTTTTTGTTGTGATACGAAGGTACATTATCTACTTAAGAACTTTCCCAATGAAAACGCTTTGGAATACTAAATAGTGGTCTTCTTTTTCGACAGCCAACAACTTAGTAGTAATCGCCTTCTACATCAAGAAATTATTAAAATTGAAACTCTAAATATTAATTTAAATTTCCAAATGAAATTTTAAATAATTGCATGTAAAAAAAGAATCCTATTTCCCTATAAAGAATTTCACACAGTAAGTTATTTTCATCTTGTATGCATCTCCCATGGTTTCAAACTAACAATATTTTAATTAAGGTTGCAACACAAGTACTAAAAACTTGTTAAACATGCAGAAATCGTTGAAATATACATATGGATATAGTGATTAAACTTTCCTTTTCACTAATTAGCTCTAATAATTACTCATTCTAATTGTGAAAGTTAATTAATAATAGTAAAATTGAGAAAACAAAAATGACTAATGTATCATGAAATTATAAAATAATGTGCAAAAAATATGAAGAATATTATTTCTCACAATTGAAAGTTATCTTAAAACAGTATGAATATAAATGAAAAAACAATGGAATTTCGTTAAACTTTATATATTCATTTTCATCTGATAAAATGGAGAATTTTATTTTTTATGTATGAAAATAGTAATGATGTAAAATGAATTTCTTTGCAAAGCTCACCATGGAAGATGGGATACTATTAATGTCATCCTCGATCACAAGGAGGTTGTACATGGGAGTGGATATGTGGGTGTTATTTGTCATATAACTTTTTACTTTTTTTTAGTTACATAAATTTGTTGTATTACTGTATAATAGGTGCATGTGCATTTTCAAAGTAATAGTGGATTAGTGCATTTAGTGGGTTAATTCATATGTTGTCTATGAATTCCAATGTCTATAAATTGAGTTCTACGATGAAGAAAATGGATGTGAAGTATTTATGAAATCAATTATCTTCCTTTGTATTCTATTAATTCTGCTCTTAATCCTTCTCCTAATTATCTCTCGATTTCTTCTTAATTCTTAAATTATTTTTCTTTGCTCAAATGACTATAAGAAATCGCACAATTTGGGTATCCATACATTTTTTTATTTTTTATTATTTTACAAATTGATTTGTTTGGAAATGTTATAATGCAAGGATGAGAAATAGGTATATTATAGGTTTGGATGTTATAGGAATATAAGTTACATACTTCAGAATTTTTGCACGAAAACACTTTGGATTACCAAACAGTTGTCTTCTTGTTCGACGGGCAACAACTTAGTAGTAATCGCACCCTACATAAGGTAATTAATAAAATCGAAATTCTAAATGTTTATTAAAATTTCCAAAGTAAATCTTAAATAATGATATTTAAAAAAAGAATCCGAGTTCACCGTAAAAAAACATCACACAGTAAGTTGTTATTTTTATCTTATATGCATCTCCCTTGGTTTCAATCTAACAATATTTTAATTAAGGTTGCAAAAAAAGTACTAGAATGCTATTAAACATGCAAAAATCGTTGAAATATATGTATGTATATAATGATTAATCTAATTGTGAAAGTTACTTAATAATAATAAAACTAAGAAAACAAATATGAATAATGTATCATTGAAAATTTTAAAGTAATGTGCAGATAATATAGAAAACATTAAGCGAAAGTTATCTTGAAATGGTATGAATATAAGTTTAAAACAATGGAATTTTGTAAACTTTATATTTTCATGTTCATCTGATAAAATGTCGAAGTTCATTTATAAGGCATGAAAATAGTAATGATGTAAAATGAATTTGTTTGCAAGGCTCATCATGTAATATGGGGATACTATTGATGTCATGCTTCATCAAGAGGGAGGTTGCCCATGGGAGTTGACATATGACAGTTATTTGTCATATAACATTTTACTCTTTTTTTAGTTACATAAATTATTTGAATTAGTATATTAATTAGTGCACGTGTATTTTTCATTGTATTAGTGGATTAGTGCAATTAGTAGGATAATTTATAAGTTGGTTATGAATTGTAAAGCCTATAAATTGAGTACGTCAATGATGGAAATGGATTCGAATTCTTTACGAAATCAATCATCTTCTTTTATCTTCTATTAATTATCATCTTAATCTTTATCCTAATTAAACTCTCTTGATTTCTTCTTTATTCTTAAAAGATTTTTCTTTTCTCAAATGACTAATATGAAATCGCACAATTTTTATAAACATGCATTTTATTTTATTTACAAAGTGAATTGTTTGGAAATGTTATAATAGTAGGATGAGACCTAAGTATATTATAGGTTTGGATGTGATAGGAATTTATGTTAGCTACTTAAGAATTTTTGCAATGAAAACACTTTGGATTACCAAACAATTGACTTCTTGTTCCATAAGCAACAACTTAGTTGCAATTTCACCCTACATAAGGTAATTAATAAAATCCCAATTCTAGGTATTTATAAAAATTTCCAACTATAATCTTAAATAATAATATTTAAAAAAAAAAATCCTATTTCACTCTAAAAAATATCACATAGTAAGTCGTTATTTTTATCTTATATGCATTCCCCATGGTTTCAAACTAATAAAAATTTAATTAGGGTTGAAACAAAAGTACTAAAAAGCTATTAAACATGCACAAACCTTTCAAATTTATGTCTGTATAAAATGATTACAATTTCCTTGTCACTGATTAGCTCCAATAATTACTCATTCTAATTGTGAAAGTTAATTAATAATGGTAAAATTCAGAAAACAAAAATGAATAATGTATCATTGAAAACTTAAAATAATGTTCAGATAATATGTAAAACATTAAGCGAAAGTTATGTTGAAATGGAACGAATATAAGTGAAAGAACAATGGAAGTTTGTTAAAAAATATATTTTCATTTTCATCTGATAATATGTCGAAGTTTATTTATAAGGCATGAAAATAGTAATGATGTTAAATGAATTTGTTTGCAAAGCTCAGCATGCAATATGAGGATAGTATTATTGATGTCATGCTTCATCAAGATGGAGGTTGCCCACATTGGAGTCGACATGCGATAGTTATTTGTCATATAACTTTTTACTCTGTTTTTTGTTACATAAATTAGTTGGATTAGTATATTAATTAGTGCACGTGTATTTTCATTGTAATATTGGATTAGTGCATTTAGTGGGATAACTTATATGTTGGCTGTGAATTATAAAGTTTTGCAAAGAAAACACTTTGGAGTACCAAACAGTTGTCTTTTTGTTCGACGGGCAACAACTTAGATGTAATCGCCCTACATAAGGTAATTAATAAAATCAAAATTCTAAATATTTATCAAAATTTCCAAATTAAATCTTAAATAATGATATTTAAAAAAAAAAATCCTATTTCCCAGTAAAAAAATTCACACAGTAAGTTGTTATTTTTATCTTATATGCATCTCACATAGTTTCAAACTAAAAACATTTTCATTAGGCTTGAAACAAAAGTACTAAAACGCTATTAAACATGCACAAATCGTTCAAATATATGTAACTATAGAATGATTACAATTTCTTTGTCACTGATTAACTCCAATAATGACTCAATCTAATTGTGAAAGTTAATTAATAATGGTAAAATTCAGAAAACAAAAATGAATAATGTATCATTGAAAATTTTCAAATAATGTGCATATAATATGGAAAACATTAAGTGAAAGTTATGTTGAAATGGAATAAATATAAAACAATAGAATTTTGCTAAACTCTATATTTTCATTTTCATCAGATAATATGTCGAAGTTTATAAAGGCATGAAAATAGTAATGATGTAAAATGAATTTGTTTGCAAAGCTGAGCATGCAATATGAGGATACCATTATTGATGTCATGCTTCATCAAGATGGAGGTTGCCCATTCACTACAAGAAACTATAAAATTCGAAACACAAGGTGTCGTTGCTGAAAGTATATAATTTCGTTGCCAATTTAATTGGCAACGAAATAGTTTCGTTGCCGGCTTCGTTGCGGTTTCCTCGTTGCGGAAAGTCTGGGGCAACAAAAAGTACAAATTGTTGCCTATACATTGATTATTGACAACGACTTCATATTGTTGCCACACATATATCGTTGCCAATACCCAAACTATGGGCAACAATTTTAGTTTGTTGCCACAGATGTTTCGTTGCCAATACAATCAGCATGAGCAACAAATCTAGTTCGTTGACAATACATCATCGTACGCAACAAATTATTTTGTTGCCAATATATCCATCATGCGCGACGAATTTATTTTGTCGCCAATAGATTTATCGTGCACAACGAATCTATTTTGTCGCCAATACATTTACCGTGCGCAACGAATTTATTTAGTCGCCAATACATCCATCATGCACCACGAATGTATTTCGTCGCCAATACATTTATCGTGCGCAACGAATTTATTTCGTCACCAATACATTAACCGTGAGCAACGAATTTATTTCGTCACCAATACATTTACCGTGCGCAACGAATTTATTTTGCCGCCAATACATTTACCGTGCACAACCAATTTAATTCGTCGCCAATACATTCATCGTTCGCAGCGGATTTTGTTCGTACCCGCAATGAATTATTAATTATTATAACAAATCTTATTGTAATAATAATTTTTTTGTTAATTAAAAGATTAATTATACATTTTTAGATTTATAAATAAACAATGTAACAATGTAAATAAATAGACAAATAAATTAAATAAAATATTATAAAAGTAACAGTCAATTACTATCCCAAATAAATGAAAACTAAACTGAAATAAGTATTGACACGAAAATTCAAACGATCATTCTAAAACACCTAAAATAACAACCTAATATTAAAGTCTTCCTTACAAATTGAATTTGAAAACCTGAATAAAAAATATAAACTAAAACATCATTACTACTTTGAGCTTGAATAAGATGATAGGAAATCCACCAAGTGCATAACTTCTATTCTCTCGCCAAGTAGAATGTCTCCACTCTGCAAAATGATCGAATTATTACTTGATTATCAGATTTAAAATAAAATAAAAAGATATTCTAGAAAATATTACCATGGAGAGGTACTTGAACGTTGTTGAGACTCCATCAATTGTTGAATGAGACGACCATACTCTTGATGAGTTGTTTCCATGGAAACAACTCTATCCTTAAGCTCCAAATTTGCTTTTTCCTTCTCTTTTAAACGTTCTTCAAGCATTTTCATAGTCGAATTTGATGCAATTTTTTTTGGTTTTGGACCATATCCAAGTCCAACAATGTAAGAAGATCTTTTTCCAAGAACATCATCAGCAATTTTATCGGCATCAACTTTCTCACCAAATTCTTCGACTTCAGTCCTACGACGTTCCATTTCCACCTAAAATTGGCATCAAAGGACCAACATTAATTACTACAAACAAATGAAGTTTCGATCACCGAGAGTTTAACATTTATGTAAAGTGAAAAGCCTAATTCTAATTGACAATAGAAAGTACATAAGTCTTGCCAGATAAACCAAAACAAAAATCCAAAATAACATCCCAAAGCAAAATCATCGTATTATTCATGAAAAAATAATACGATTACTAATTACTACCGTGAATCAACTATAATATAATTTCAAGCTAATATATTCATATTAATATACAGTAAAGAACTCACTACAAAAAATATCATCATATAAGTAAGTGTACAAACAGAATACAATGTAATAGACAGTTGAAAATTTACTTACATAATTTTTTTCACATTGTGGAGTAGCCCACCCCTTCCCTTCTTTATAATGACAATGTTTGTAAAATTTTATCCTATCGACTTCCTCATCACCATCATCATCATCATCATCCTCCTCCTCCTCTTCTAGTTCTTTACTCTGTAAGAAAATAGATAGAGATAAATGACATTCTGTTATACATTAATATATTATATTATAGAAAATTTAAAGTAACTTACAAGTATATTGCGAGCTGCTACAAAAGACCTAGAGCCTTGATTATGATTTGTAATCATCTTTTTTCGATTGTTCCTATTTATTTTGCATCTTTCCTATAAAGTTGATTTACATTATAAAATGCATAATAAATATTAAAAACTTATTTTCACGAAGAAGATCATACTTGGTACTGAGGATCGCTAAAAAGATTAGTACATAGTAATTCCCAGTTCGCTTGAGTTAAGCCTCCAAAGTAAGGTTTATTTCGAATTGCTTCCTCCAGCGAAGTGAACTTCCCGAAATGTTTATTCAACCTATGTCGCTGGTGTCTGATTCGATGCTTTAACAATTCCAAGACATTCTCTTTAGTTTCCTCTTCTGGATTATCGATGGATAAATGCATCTGCAATAAAAAGATATTAAAAATTATAATGATATCGTAATAAGATGAACAACATACATAAATAAATATATAATAATTTCGCAAAAGTATACTACTAACACCAAGTTGATCAAAAGCCACCGACAACTCAGACTTTTCAAAGTCCTTCCATTTTAGCCGGTACACGCATGAATTCGCGAGAGAGTATCCCCAGCTCACTAGATAACTTTGCTGATTCCACACTATCAAGTGGTCTTCCGTGTTTAGCATCAATGTGAACAACCAATTTTTGTTTGTTTTGCTTATTTAATTTTCAAAGAGCTATCCCTCGAACATTCTGTTTGTTGGTTGAAGCTGCATGTTCACCAAGTTCCAATATGTTCAAAAGATTGCCTCCAAAACTTGTAGCATCCACCATACTCAATACGGAGAAAATCTTTCCAATTTTATTCCATCAGTAGAATGAGTAATACTTATGCAAATTCTTTCAGTCCGAAAATCAACTACAAACAAGCCAATCATGTTCAAACATTTAAGAGTTGTGATGAATTTATAAAACAATCTCATGTCTATCTACTACAAACAATGTTCAAATAGGAAAAATTAAATTCAAATATTAACCTGAGTGTCAAAGTAAAACACCGTCGCTGCACTATGGCAGAAACTTACAAATCATCAAAGGAATTTGATATGATCTGTAATAGGTGATTCTTTATATATTTGATATTCACCGAAAATTAGCGCGGGGGAGTGGTGGTCAATTGCGAAATCCAGAAATTCCCTCCTTAGTGTAGTCGTGGAGTGAATGAAATGCGAACGTGTGTTTATTGAGTACATTGTGGTTGTAATTTGATTGGTACGTGGTGCCATGGTTGTCAGAACCGGGTCGGACCGGCCGGTAAAATTTCGGAAACTGACCCTAGAACCCGGTTTTTTTATCGAAACGCAGCTGGGTGTCAGAGTTGGGGGCTGTGTGGCCGGATGTTGATGTTTGGTGGTCGGATCTTGGTTTTTTGTGGCCGGATTTATGTGACAGATGGACAAATCTAAGAACTGAGAAAAGAAAGAATAAACAAAGCTAGAAAGAAATTTACACATGGGAGATAGGGTCGGTGTGAAAATAGAGAGAAAAAAAAAAAAAAAAAATAGGAGATGAAGAAGGGAATTTTGCAGTCTGCGTGAAGTTGAGGATAAAAGAAAAAATGTAAGGATTAATTTTTTGTTTTTGCTGAAAAGACTTCGTTATTCCATTATAGATAGGCGTTTGGGGCCTCGTTAAGACCTTGTTGGCATTTCATAAGGAGATAGTACCACTATAATGGTAATAAAAAGTCAAGGACTCCTCTAACTTTTCTAATTTACAATTTGGCCCAAATGGGGGCGAAACAAGAATAACCTAAAACTAACAGTCTTATAGCTAGCTGAATTACAAAAAATATCTAAAAGACCCTAAAAGGGGTTACTAATGCAAATAACCAAACTGCAACCGCAACTGAATTGAAATAACCAAAAGGGATTACTAATGCAAAAAATATCTAAGAGACCCCAAAAGGGGTTACTAATATAAATAATCTATAAAAACAATAATGATAATAGTAATACTTAAAAAAATCCTAAATGAGTTGTTCTCAAGCTCGAGCTCATACAATGAAATATCGACGAGATCGAGATCGTCAAATTGGGCTCGAGCTCGAGCTTAAAAGATCTGTTGAGTTCGGCTTGAGCACAGCTAGTGTTATTATTATCTAAAATCTTAGATATTGTATCTTGAGTACAATTTAATTATTACAAAGTTATGATTCATTTAGTCCATATTAAATACATGATTTTAATAACGTCAAAGAATGCAACATAATAATTTTATGGTGCTTGTTGATACGATTATAGTGGTGAGCAAGTTCGGTCCATGCCCCCGATAAAATCATGAAAATTCGTCCCCTGTAGGGAGTATCTATCAAAAGCAATGGGTCTTTGTTTTTTTGAAAGTTGTCATGTATCGTCTTGTTTAAGTAAAACGGCATAATTTTGTTTTAATATGTACTAATATAGTAAATCAATATATATATAAACTAGATTAAATATTAAAAAAATCTTAACTTAACAATAATATATGAATAAAAGTTGTCGACTAAAAAAAAATTATTCAAACAATAACGGATTTCGATCCATCAATGTTGGGAACCCCCTAACCTGCATATCCTAAACTCGCTTAAAACCCATTATTTTCGATCATTCATATAGCTAATAACTAGAACAAATGTAACGAAAAAACTAGTGCTAGTCTCTCGAAGTTCACTTTACCACCTTGATCTGTTGAAAAAGAAGAAAAACAAAAATCAATTAAAATAGTTAATAAAAAAAACGACTATATAAAGAAAGCAATACGATAAATTCTTTGTGCTAAATGATTATCGAACGATAAAGCATAACCAATTTGCAGCTGAACATTTTATTTCACAACATCAACCAAAGGCCAACTCTAAATTTACCGCAAAATTAATCGACATCTGCTCCTTTACGCACATTTTCTCTACATTTAAATATTAGGAAATTTAGAAGAGAAAAAATAACGCCGTAAAGTTGTAAAGTTCTAAATCGTAATTTAACTACAATCAAAAGCAGGTCATCCCATTCCTTTATAATTAATCTGGTGAACATAACATGGATAAAACAAAGTTAAATACAAGGATATGAGCAATGTCGTATACATATAATGTACAAATTTATACTTAGATTTGTTTCCCCTCTGCCACAATGACAATGTAATTGTCCAATATCATTTTATTCACAAAACCAACTTCAAACTCAAACTATAAATTAAGAGTTTCATCTGAAAAATAATAAGCATTTTAATCTTGAAAGCAATTTATGGACTACAAATTTCAAGAAGCTAGAAAATGATGTCAATCCATAGTACTGCTGCAACTACTCAACTAATATCTCTTTTGACAATAAACTTTATTGGAAGAAAATTAGCACAACCTACAGAGTACAATATAAAGCAAGTCAAGCTTTACTCGAAAAGTTATCCAAATACACAAAACAATACCATATTGATAACAAGATACATAAAAGAAAATTTGAAAAATATAATATAGACAGAAGTTCGCATCTCCCCTGCTACAAGATATAATAATTTGGATGAATATAAAGTATCATGGAAATCGGGAAATGCCTATTGGTAATGACGAACAATCAAACAGTATCCCAAATTACTCTAAACGGGAAGAAATAAAAGGGTATCAAACAAAGTTCAACGAATTATACAAGCTTAAGATAAAATTAGAAGTTGTTAAAACGAAAAAATAAGAAGAATAAATAAACTAATTTTTATACCTGTATCGTATCCCTAAGCTAGTTCCAAGATCATATTTGAGAAGAAATTTCCACGTGATCCAATACATCAGCAAGCTACAGGGACATAAAAATAGTACTTCACAGTTACAAATTTATATGCATTTACTTCTTTGCACATTGAAGATCTAAATGAATATATTTTCTACAGCTACATATTACAAAAAAAAAAAAAAAAAAAAAAAAAAAAAAACTTACCAGCAAATGACAAGGTACTGTAAAGGATCTAATTTTTTAGTTATAAGTCATTCCAAGTCACTATCATCATCGGTGATTTGAAATTCTTCCTCTACGTTACAATAATTATCCAATGTATCATCTTCTTCAGAAGCATCATCTTGAACTGCGTTGAAATCTTCAATTTCATTTTCCAAACCTTGAATTGTATCAACCCCAACAACGACCGGATCAACATCATTTCTCTCCAGAGATATTAACTCTCCTAAATCATCTTGAACGGATGTATCAAGTTGTGAAGATTCATCTTCTTGGTAGACATTATCGTCCTCCCTAATATCTCCATCATTTATCTCTAAAGAGTCGAACACGTGGCGATGTTGAAATTTTATTACTATTCTCCAATCTTTGCCCAATTTCATATCATCAAGGTAGAATACTTGCTTTGTTTGACATGCAAGTATAAATGGGTCATCCTCATACCATGTACGACTGATATTGATGCTAGTGGTTTTCCCATCATGTATAATAGATTTCTTGTTACCAAGATTAAACCATTGTGCCTTAAAAAGAATAACATGATTGTCTTTGATATAGTCTAGCTCAATTATTTCAATGACGATGCCGTAAAACTCGATCATAATGTCATTATGGTTACCTTCAACCATTACACCACTATTTTGTGTTGTACGACGACTATCACGCTCCTTAGTATGGAATCTTACTCCATTTACAATACAACCCGGATACTTGTTCACAATCATACTAGGTCCACATGCTAATGCATACAATTCATCTACATTATCTTGTGGATTATGTGATTTCTTTTGCGCCATCTGCATAACAAATAAGGTATTAGAGTATAAATTCCAAAACAATAAATTATACAAATTAATTAAGTTTCAATTATTTCTCTTACATGATGTTTAAACCACTCTGGAAATTGCTTTTTGTGCCTGTCTTCTAAATTCAATATACTCTCTTGCTCGAGTATCTCTTTGTGCATTCTATACAAGACGATAAAATTATTATTTATCGATTTGCGAAAAGTAAATGCTTATAAAAAAAATTATGCTATTATTATTCAACAATAGATTACTTACTGGTGAAATTGTTCCACTTCTTCACAATTGCTCAAAATATACCAATGAGCCAAATCTAACTCGTCCCTTGGGGGCTCACAATATTTTATAGCTCCAAATGGTCGTGCCTTTTGTGAGAAAACGGACAACTTACAATCAACTTCTTTATCCATATTACTTTCTTCTTTGTTAAAAGAAGTTTCAATTCCATCAAGGTACATTGAGCAAAATGTCAAACATTCACAATATAAGCTTCTGCAATAGACCCTTCTGGACGAGCTTTATTCCGTACGTAACCCTTTAATGTACCTAAATATCTATTATAGATAATATTAATTAATAAAAAAGGATATTGCTTTAATTATTGAGAGAATTCAGATATGAATAATCATTCAATGATATGTAAATATAAACAAAATTTATACTTATACGTTACCTTTCAATAGGGTACATCCATCGGTATTGAACTGGGCCACCTAACATAACTTCACGTGGTAGATGCATAGCTAAATGCACCATAACATCAAAAAAAGCTGGTGGAAAAATCATTTCAAGTTTACACAATATCTCAATAATATCTTTTTCCAATTTATTTACGTCTTCTACCATCAACTTTCTACAACACAACCTCCGAAAGAAATCCCCTAACTCAAGTATTGCAGCGTATATGTCTTTGCTCAAACATCCACGAATGCCATATGGAAGTACCCGTTGCAAGAGAACATGACAATCATGACTTTTCAAACCCACTAACTTAGCTTCAAACACATTTACACAACGAGCAATATTAGAAGCATATCCATCTGAAAACTTTTGTGCTTTAACAAATTCACAAAATTGTTGTCCTTCTTTTTTAGACATTGCATAAGCTGCCGGTGGTATAACATACCTCCCATCATTTCTTTTTTTTAAATGCAGTTCCTTTCTAATATTCATATCCTCCAAATCTTTCCTTGCTTTATATGTATCTTTTGTCTTCTTATCCATATTCAACAACGTCCCCAAAATATTATCACAAATATTTTTTTCGATGTGCATGACATCAAGATTGTGTCTTAAGAGTATTGTCTTCCAATAATGCAATTCAAAAAGAATGCTCCTCTTAGTCCAATTCAAATCTTGTTTATCTCGCTTGTTTTTTTTCTTTAAACTGGGATGTTTTCCACCTTTAACACCTTTTAAATGCATCGTTTGTTGAGATACATCATTTCCAGAGAAGTATTTCGGTGCCATGTTTAATTCTTCTTTTCCGTCGAACTTGATTTTATTTTTTCGCCATTTATGACCACGAGGCAAGTATCGACGATGACCCATATAACAAATTTTACTTCTCAATCCCTTTGAGCATGTATGTTTATTGCAGACAAGGCATGCCATATAACCCTTTGTACTCCAACCAGACACACAACCATACGCAGGAAAATCGTTAATTGTCCATAAAAGAGCAGCATGCATTTGAAAATTCTTCTTAGAAAATGCATCATAGGTTTGCACACCTTCATTCCACAAGTCTTTTAATTCATCAACTAATGGTTGTAGGTATATATCAATATCTTTACCTGGTTGATGTGGTCCAGGAATGAGCAATGACATCATGAAATATGACTTCTTCATGCATTTCCAAGGCGGCAAGTTGTATGGAATGATAATGACGGGCCACATGCTGTAAGAATTACTCATAGTACCAAATGGATTGAAGCCATCAGTTGCCAAAGCAAGTCGTATGTTACGGGCATCTTTTGAAAAATATGGGTGTTGTTGATCAAATTCTTTCCATGTTCTTGCATCTGCTGGATGTTTCAACTCTTTTTCATCATTTATTCGCTTGTCCGAATGCCATCTCATATCTGCTGCTGTCTTCGGTGACATAAACAACCTCTGCAACCTTGGCTTTAAAGGAAAGTAGCGCAATATTTTGTGAGGAATTTGCTTTCTCTTAGCATTACTAACTTTCCATCTAGAAGTACCACAAACTGGACACTCTTGATAATTTTCATACTCTTTCCAAAATAAAGCACAATCATACTTACATGCATGGATTGCAGTGTATCCCAAACCCAAGTCATTTAAAATCTTTTTTGCATCATAGTATGATTTCGGAAGAGTTTCACCATGAGGTAAAGCTTTTTTTAGCAGTGTTAACATCATGTCAAATGACTTATTGCTCCACTTATTATAAACCTTTATGTGGAGCAAATGCACAATAAAAGATAAAGTTGAGAACTTTGAGCAACCTGGATAAAGTTCTTGTTCAGCCTTACGTAATAGCTCAAGAAACGTCATAGGTATATCTTCACTTTCCTCACTTTCATTGGTGTTATGGTCTTTATCAAAACGACGAGTATTTTCATAAAAATTTCCAAGATCGTTCAACAAGTCGTTCACTCCATTTGTGTGGTCGTCATCCTCATTCACAGAACCATTATCAGAATCACTACGAGGAACTTGATAATCAAATAATTCACCATGATGAATCCACCTAGTGTATTCAGTATCTATACCTCGAATAAGCAGATGATCAAGCACTTCTTCTTTACTTCTAATATATGAGTTCAAGCAAAAAGTACAAGGACACTTAATCTCACGTTCTTGGCCAATGTGTTCATCCACAAACTTCATAAATGATTGAACGCCCTGTACATATTCTCTAGAAAACTTTCTAGCTGTCATCCAACTTTTGTCCATCACATACGACCTATTGAAGTATAGCATACGTTATTGTGTGTGTAGAGAGAAAACGAATGAAAAATAGCCAACTCTAATACAATATCTCTTTTATTTAAAAATAAATTTAAGTAACTACATCAATGACCTGATTCAAATTCAAAATGACAAATCTTCTCTGCTCATAGAAAATCCCTTTACATAAGATCCATCCCATATAGGTTAATACAGTGAGTAAATGTTGTAGTTAATATATTATTATCAATCTCATTAATTTGACAACTCTCTTATTATCATGAAACATGAAGTTCTTGATCGGGGATAAATATAAATTAACGAAATTGTGCAAGAGAAAAATAACATTTAGCTGAACATATAAAATCTCTTAAAAGAGAAAAAGGTTGGAGACATGATTAACCGTGATACTTAATCGTATGCCCAAACAGTATTGTCTTCAATTTACCTACCAAAAGTATTCACCGCCGTAGTGTTGTCGCCGGAGAAATCAAATGAGCTCGTTCTCTGGAGGAGAAATCGATTACGTAACCTGTCCTTTGGATATAAGACGAAACTTGGTGAGGATGATTAATTAGTTTCAAAATTGAAGTTTAAATTGGTGTTGGTGCAGCAGAGAAATCAATTTTGGGATACCTTTATAACAACGGCGGCAGTGTCGTGTATTAGCTCGTTTGTTGAATCTGTTTCCCTTTCCTATTCAAATTTGACTTTTTATTTGCAGAGCTATTAATAATCATTGTTATCATATATGATTTAAATATTATATAAATTTACTTTCCTAGGAGTAATATTACTATGGGTTGTTAATTGTATTACGTAAAAATTTGGGTAGTAATTTCTTTATTTCCATTATAATTTGGAAAATCATTAAGTATTATTCTAATTAAAAAATTAAATAAAATATATAGTTTTACATAATAGTTGTCAAAAACAAATTACAGAAATTTAAAAATAGCGAACTCGAATACCGAACCAAATTACTGCATCGCTATTAAGTACGTGCCAAATATTCGGTTCGACACGGTTCAACTGGTTTACCAAACCGACGAAAACCCTTGCATTCAAAAATTATTGGCAACCAAGTAGTTTTATTTCTAGCTCCTAATATATTCCTTATAAGTCCATATATGACTCATTCCAACTTTAACGATTGCTTTCATTGCTAAGGCCCCGTTTGGTTGCCAAGATAAGCCATGATTAACTAAATAGTTGGATTTAATTTGATGTTTGGTATCCTCAATAACTTGCCGGGTCGACCCGCCAAAATTAAATAATCATGGCTTATCTTGCCTTATCTTGGCTTATCTTGCCTCTTAATGAGTTTTTTTGTTGGACCTTTCAAGCTCCAATAAAATAATTGGGTCTCATTAGATTATTTAATCTTATCTTGGCTAATCTTATCTTGCCAACCAAACGGGGCCTAAGTATACAAAATTATATTTTGGCTACAATTATGTTTCGTTGCCAATTTATTGAATATTCACAACAAAATATTTTGTTGTCTTTTATAGCTTATTAACAATGAAATGTATTTGTTGTCAATGAAACATTATTTGCTACAATTTAATTCGTAGCAAAAAGAATTATTCTTTTGCAACAAAAAATTTTGTTGTAATTCATTAAATTTGTTGACAATTGTGTACAATACTATTCACTACAATGAGTTTCGTTGCCTAATTAGATGAAAAGGCTACAAATCCATTTTGTTGCCGAAACATTCAACTTTGGCAACGAATATCAATTTTTGTTGCTAAAATATAACTATTCACAACAAAATTAATATCGTAGTTAAACAATTCGTTGCCAATTTTGCTATTTCTAATATTAGGGTTTATTTGATGGATGTTATGATATGGTGAGGTGCTGCTTTAATTTCTCAAATATATACATCGAAAAATCACCTAATACAATCATAGCATCATTCGCATATCCATTATTTTGTATATCAATTAATATGTCAATCATTGACTTTTATTTTTTTTACATATTTCTTTTTTAATTTGAGGTCAGTAGGTAGAATGGGATTACTTTACTTATAATTATTGCCCTCACTTTCTCCATTCTTTCTCCTTAATAATATATATGACCTTAATATATAAGGGGTGATTACAAATAAGCGTATCAATGGGTACTTATTTATAAAGAGATTCAGATAAAAATCTCCTTTACTAATAAGTCCACACATGGTCTAGATTTTTGTAAAAGACTAAAATAGCCCCTCATACTTTAATATGCTTCAATATCATCCTTAACTTAATTTGACCCCAAATTTCATAAATTATTCAATTTTGACCCAAAACATTTTGTTTTTCAAAAAAAAAAAATTCAAATTTTTTTTTCCCGCCGATGCCGGCGTTGAATTTTTCGATTTTTTTTTTCTTCCTGATTTTTTCGCCGGTCTCCAGCGTTGACTTTTTCGATTTTTTTTTTCTTTTCTTTCTTTATGTAACCTTTTTTTTTCGTTTAAACAACAATATTGCTGTGATTGACAGTAATATTAACTATATTACTGTTAAACATAGTAAAATTAACTAAACTACAGTTTAACACAATAATATTGCTATTTTAATCTCTAGCACAGTAATATTAACACAACCAAACTCATTATTATTGTGTAATAGAGTAATATTACTATGTTGACCGTTCAACAAATGTAAACATAATAAAAAACCAAAAGAATTAATATTACTGTGAGTGACAGTAATATTACTATAACAACAGTAATATTACCGTCAACCACAGTAATATTACAATAATGGACAGTAATATTATTACGTTACTCCGTGAATAACTCAAACAAATAAAAAAAATCCAAAAAAAATAATAGTATTGATGTGGTTGACAGCAATATTACTATAACAACAGTAATATTACCGTCAACCACAGTAATATTATTGTGTTTACAGTAATATTACAATAATAGACAGTAATATTATTACGTTACTCCATGAATAACTCAAACAAAACAAAAAACCCAAAAAATAATAATATTGATGTTCTTGAAAGTAATATTATTGTGTTTACAGTTATTTTACTGTCAACGACAATAATATAATTACGTTGACTTGTCAACAAATAAAAAAAATAACAAAAAAATAATATTACGTTAATTTACCGTCAACGGCAGAATAATTACATAAATGTATTGTCAACGACAGTACAATTACGTTAATTAACTGTCATTGACAGTATAATTACGTTAATTTACTGTCAGTGACTGCACAATTACGGTAAACGTTTAGCGGTGAACGTAAAAAAAAAAAAAAAAAAAAAAAAGTCAACACTGGAGACCACCGGTCAACGGCGGAAACCGGGAAAAAATACGGAAGAAAAGAAAAAAAAAAAAAAAAGTCAACGCCGGAGACCGGCGTTGACTGCCGGTCAACACCGGAAACCGGCGGCAAAAAAATTATTTTTTTGAAAAAGAATTTTTTTTTGAAAAAGAATTTTTTTTTGAAAAAGAATTTTTTTTTGAAAAACAAATGTTTTTGGTCAAAATTGAATAATTTGTGAAATTTAGGGTCAAATTGAGATTAAATTAAGGTAAGGTTGAAATTGGAGCATATTAAAGTATACTTCAAAAAAATTCAAAATTGAATTTTTGTGGCAAAAATTGGATTTTTGTGGACAAAATTGATTAAATTGGGGATACAATTAAGAATTGGTATAAAGAGGTGAGGGTAATATTGACATATGCATGAATGTTTCATTTATTTATAATAAATATTAAAGAGGTGGACTTATTGGTGAAAAAAATATAGCCCCTAAACCTAGAATAATAAAGATGCTTGGTTGGGAACTTATGCACAAAAACCATATACATATATATAGCCATCACCATCGTTGACGGTCTGTCTCTGGTGTTCACTTTTTTTTTTCCTAATTTTTCCGCCGGTCTCCGGTGGTGATCCACTCTGCTCTTACAGCTCATCTTATTTCAACACTCTAAGGTGATCTAACTCTAGCATCATCATTTTGGCGTCGTCTGTGGGAACACAAACAAGATCATGTAGCGCACAAGATGGCCTTGAGACATCTGCTCAGGGGAGTGTGACACTGCTAACAACCTCCCACCTCGTGGAGGCTCTGGCTTACCGCTTCCTCCTCCCCGTGCTCGGGATCCACCACGAGACCCTCCTCGTTATGTCCCACTAGATCCTCAACAGTATCCACTCCTTCCCGCCCCTCGAACGGTTCAGATAACCGAGGAGGCCCTTCAACGCTAATAACCTCCCACCTCATGGAGGCTCTGGCTTGCCAATTCCCCCTTCCCGCATTCGGGATCCAACACAAGTTCATCATCGCGATGCCCCAATGGGTCCTCAACATGATCTACTTCTATTTACTCCTCGAACGGTTCAGATAATCGAAGAGGACCTTCAGCGTATGATCGTGGAAGCTTCAACAAGATCAAACTTCTACTTGCTCCTCGAACGGTTCAGATAACCGACGAGGACCTTCAGCATATGATCATGGAAGCTTCAACAAGATCAAACTTCTACTTGCTCCTCGAACGGTTCTGATAACCGAGGAGGACCTTCAGCGTATGATCCCGGAAGCTTCAACTCGTGCAGCCACTGAAGTAGTGACACCATACATCGCCATAGAAGGAGCCAACGCTCCTCCTCGCGAGGCCCCACTAGATCCTCAACAGGATCAACTTCTCCTTGCTCCTCGAACGGTTCAGATAACTGAAGAAGACCTTCAGCGTACGATCACGGAAGATTCAACTCGTGCTGCCACTGAAGCAGTGGCACCATACATTGTCATGCGGCTACACCGGTAGCACAACCACCGCTATAAGGTAACCACCACCAAGCGAGTGTGTCGTGGGCATCTACTTTGAACCCTCAATTCCGAATACAACAAATCACTCATCGCCGAGAAATACGAATTGGGCAACAACGCCCACATTCACCTTCAAAAGGCAACGCTTCTCCCTTACGAGCTCCTCCTTCGAATAATGTGAACAACATTTGGAGTCCTTCAAAACCATAACAGGG